TCTGAAAAGTCAGAGGATTCTAGCCCAAAGAGGAAGGTCCTTAGAAAGAAGAGGGCACGTCAGAGTAATTCTGACGACTCCTTCTCATCAGTTAAAAACAATAAGAAAATAGCAGCGAGGGCTGCTTCCCCAAAACCTGATAATTTCCCCCCACTCCCCACTCCAGGCCCATCTTCCTCAGGTCCATCTTCTTCTGGTACCTCTGTGGAAGATCCAGTGATCGTCCCAGCAGCCCCTGCTAGACAGGTTCCTGCTGAAATTACTCCTGCTGCTCCTCAAACGCAGCAAGAAAAAACCAAACAGACCTCCATTAAGCCCACTCCAATAGTCTTGAGAGATACTCTGACTGTGGTCGAGTATAACTCGCAGACTAAAGGGAAGCAAAAAATCGCCATAAAGCTCCAAAACCGTGCAACACGGTATACAAATTAGCCCCGCCACTATCGCCGATCACAGGCTCATAACAGCTTACTTCAAGAGTCAGATAAGCTATTATACATTTTTTTCTCCCTGAAGAAAGGGACCTAAATGTCGTAATCAAAAACACATCGAAACTGATATCGAGAACGAAATGATAATCGATGACCTGATCTCTCTCAAGGGGTTTGAAGTCAAAGAAATTCATCGTCTTACCCGAAAAGGTAAGCTTCTTCCAGTAGTAAAAAACTGAATCCCCGTAGTCAGACTCATATTTTTCCAAGTCCGTACTGTAGCCCTTCTCAGGTTACAATCGAACCCCAAAATCATGGTAATGGCACTCGCCAATGCCACAATTGTCAACTTTTCGATCATTCTGCCACAAACTGCTTCTTGCCTTACCCCGCTGTGTTAAGTGTGACGAGACACCACAGCACAAAATCCTGCGAAAAAACGGTGGACTCTGCCGCAGTTTGCACGAACTGTGGCGGACCACACCCCGCAAATCACATTCTCTGCCCCAAAATCCCAACAACCCGGAAAATCGACCCCTCCTCTAATAAGGACCGACCAATTGATACTAGAAAACCCTCTGGCTTTAGTTCAACTACCCAATCGTCTTCCTATGCTAATGTATCAAAAGGTAACACACCCCTTCCATTCAAAGTATTGCCCCCAAACCAGTCTGGACTACCATCCCCCTTTCCCCCTAGTCCAGATTTTCAAAAACTTCTAGCTGAGCAAATCTCAGCTCAAAACCTCTTCGGCCCCGCATTCCAGCGGCTTTTACTCGAGCAAATCCAATTCCGTCCAAACCGAAATCCCGACGACGACATCAATTTCGATGAAGTTGTAGAAGAATTCTACGAAAACTTCGTAGCCCCCATTCCGCCTCTCGAGGCCCCTATCCCCCCAGCAAGTCCTAAAGAAATTTCATCCATCATCTCCCACCTGCGTGCAGCAGAAGCCCCAGGTCACGACCAAGTAAACAACATCGCACTGAAACACCTCCTCGAGGTTCTTATAACCCAATTTACCACCATCATTAATTTGATAATGTCCCTCAGATATTTTCCAAACGTTTGGGAAAACTTAGCCATAATTATTCTAATCCCCAAAGCCAAATAAGAACCTCACTTTCCCAGAAACTGACGCCCCATCAGCTCCTCCTCTCCTCCCTCCCTCGAAACTGGCTGGAGAAGGTTATTCTTCTAGAATTAACGACTTCCTGAAGCTAGTGCCGAGATCATCCCTCAGGAGCAGTTCGGATTTGCGCCAATCCCTCTCCTGCGAACAGCAAGTCGCACGCGTGGTGGAATATGTTACGCAGGGTCTAAAACGCCAAGCTGGGGCACTGGTCTTGCCTTTCGCGTTTTGACATTGAGAAGGTTTTTGACAGGGTTTGGCACAGAAGGCCTTGTGTTCAAACTTCACCACGTTTTCCACTTTCCCCAACAGATCACTGTCATCATTAAACCCTTTCTTGTCGATAGGGAGGATTCCAGGTCCGGGCATCGGAGACTCTCTTTCCACTCGTGCTATAGAGGCTGGGGGGGTGCCGCAGGGCTTGTCCTGTCGCCCACACTCTATAATACGTTCACATCCGATATCCCCAAATCCCGGAGACTCGTCTTGCGTTGCCTCGCAGACGACACCTGTCTCTACTCCACTGCCTCGAGCAATGGAATTCCAGAGCAGGCTCCAACCCTGTTATCGCCCAGCTGCTTGATTGGTTTTCCCACTGGAAAATCAAAATCAATGCAGCAAAACCCAAACTTTGCTCAGGCTCCCGGACGAATGAGCTCCCACCTGGGCCTCCTCTCTAGCAGCCATAGACGACGAAGAGAGATCCTTGGGGAAAAACCGTGCCAAGTATCTCCGAGTCACTAGACCGACGGCTATCCTGGATCCCCCATATCGACGAAGAAAATTTCTGGTGCCCGTGCCACTTATGCTAGTCTTCATGGCCTCCCTCAGCAAAAGAGCACCCTCTCCCTTCAAATAAAAAGTCCTACTGTTCCAGAACAGTCATTCGCCCTCAGCTCCTCTTATGCAGCCCCCAGTATGGGTGTGTAGGCTCCTCTGACAGCCAAACAGACTCCACAGACCCAAGTTTGTGCGAAAACAAAATCCTCCTGCTGGTTATCACCAGAGCTCCTGGTATGCACGCCTCGGCATACACAATACCGACCTCACGCATCGACCCCATCCCCAAATACCTTCGAGATCGTGCCTTGAAATTTACGATTGAGAAAATCGGTACTATCCCCAATAGTACCCTTAAATATTCGATTACAATCCTGAGGGACTATAGAAACTTCAAATACTCCTACTCTTAAAACCATTCTTCTAGACAATTAATTTTGTCCCCCCCCTTCTCATAATATAGTCCTCCCATCACCCCACAACACCCCCCTTTTTTTCTTCCCCACATATTAGCAGGAATAATAGCTGACCATTCTTGGGCGGCTGATTCCTCGGAGGTGGACTTTTTTTAGTGGGTATCAACCGAGTCCCACACTGTCTAGGGGTTATTTCTAGGACCGTCTCTCTCGAGATGGTTATGGAAATTATCACTATTCGTCTATAAAAGATTTTTCAACCACCCCCTCACCAAAAAAAAGCGCACCAATGAGGTTATAAGGGGGTGCGCACACTGGCGCACACTAGCCAGAGCCGCACGAATCGCACGGACGAAAATCCGGCCAGCATTGTTGGGCCAAAATGATTTTCTATCAGTGCGGCTGGTGCTGCTGACGTTACACGCAATTCCTTCCACTCTACGCGGGTAGCCGAATCGAACTAGCCGAAGAGGAGATTAGAAATTCAATATGCTAAGAAAGTTCGCAAATTTTTCATGGCTCATTTTGAAATATTGAAAAATTTTTAGTTCGCCCCCAATTAAATATAGTAATAATCTGGAATTCCCTCCTAAAGGTAAAATTTTGCAAATATTATATGAATCCATAACATTCGATTCTTTCTCGTGATTTCTTCTAGATTAGCACTGCTGGTGCACTGCTGCTCTGACAGGACTCCGGAAGCGACTAATGAAAAATTGAATTGGCAAATACGGGTGTAGTGGGGGCAAAAAGAAACAAAAGAGCGAATAATGCGGTGAGTGCGGCGCGTTCTGTACGGGTCAGTATGCGCGACAAGAAAAAAACTGCGCTTCGTGCGGCGAGTGCGACGCTGGTCAGTGTGCGCGTACCTTTGAACCAGGTGCATTGTATGGAATCAACTGATTCTCACGATTAATTCATTAATTTAATTCTTTCATTTGAACGCTTTGTATTCATTCCCCTGTCTTTAGTCTATACTGCGCAACAATAATATAATCTGTGACTGCGCTATGATAAAATTATTCCCGCCACGATTCATTCAACCTTTATTTATACAGGGTGTTTCAAAAAACATGTGTCTCTCGTGGGAAGATTTCTCGCGTAAAAATAAGATTTATTTTTCATATCAACATGGGTCCGATTCTGCTTATTGTTTCGTAGCTACAGGGTGTTAAAGTCTTAATATTTTTTCGATTTATTATAATTTTCTTCCAAGCACTTTTAACGTTTCGAATGAAATTTTAAGGGTTAAACTTACTATAAGTGGGACATATTTTAAATCTAAAAAAGTGTCAACATAATCACCATGGACGTGCATATGCGTTATCACTGGAATATTTTTCTAGAAAAAGAATGTAATAAGCCACTAACTTTCTTTTCTGTTGTTAGCGAAATAGTGTCAGCAATTTAATGCCGATTAAAAGTTGTCTCTTGATATTTTGTCGAATTCGGCCTCCTTGATGAGATAAACGCAATTTTATTAATCACAAATAATAAAATTTAAATTAAAATAAAAGTTTAAAAATTACATATTTTAACTAATTTATCATTAAATATTATTACTATTAGTTATTATTACTATTAGTCCAACCTACAGCAATTTCGAATAAAAAAATAATGGTAAGATAATTACAAAAAACCTAATTTTAAAAAGTTTTTGCATTCCTATAACTAAAAATTACATTTCCATTTTATCTCCTCTTTGGCCATAGTGTCTATGGTAATAGAAAATCTAACTTTATTACTATTAAGGTAATAACATAATATAGAGAAAAATAATAAAAAGTTTTTATTACTTTCTCTATGGGTAATAAGGACAAGTTTATATTCCAAAACTACTACTACTACTTAAACCACCTTACAAAATATACCGTATGATGAAAAAAAACGGCGTCAGCGATGGCTATGAAATGAAGGCGCTGTCATTTTATACGCAAATATATACCCCAACTGGACGCCGTTTTTATTCGATCATACGGTATTATGGGATATGGGAAATGTGTGGGAAATGTCATCGATCATCATTTCCTAGACAACTGGACGCCGATTTTTTCGATGATACGGTCATACGGTAGTACATAGGTAGTACTTTCTGGAGATAAACTACACGTAGTAATCTAGTAATCAGGTAAAGATCTATCACTCTGTTAATAAACATCTTTATCTATGGTTAAAAAGTACAATAAGTATTTTCCGATCCAACCCTAACAACCTTTGACATTTGTTGTCTTTTGTCTTTAGAGGTTATGTTTTACAAAATGATGGAAAAATGTAAAAAATACTAGAAGGAGAAATGAGAAATATCAGGAAATATCCAATTTTTTATATACATAATATAATCAATTTACCTTTTGTTTAGACTGGAAAAATAGTGTTATATTTTAATAAAATTAATATAATAATCTTTAAAATATGAAAGCTGATAGGAAGGCCGGGTTAATGATTAATTAATTTATAATGGCTAAAAAATTACTTGTGAGTGCTATGACCAGCTATAACTGAGTAAATATAGCGCCAAACCTATATTGTATTATTTTCTTTCTATTAAGTTAAAATGGAGAAAAATGGAACAATATTTTATCCCATCATTAGTTCGATTCAGAAAATGGCATTGTATGAAACAAAATCTGTAAGTATATACCTATTTTAAAGAAGTATAGATACTTGGCTGAATATTTTGAAATATTTATATTAATATACCTACATATCATTGGGAACTTTATTTCGATTGTATGCTTGATAATTTGATAAAGCAATGTTATGGAATTGTTATTTAGAACTGAATATCTATTTCAGAAGTTTTACTTAGTGGGATCAAATAACACCCAAACTCGATTTCGTGTTCTTAAAATTGATAGAACTGAAGCGAAAGAGTTAGACATATATGATGATAAGATTGAATACTCAGCAGAAGAAATTCACGACCTTGTTAATATGATTGAGTCTGGAAATAGAAAAGTTGGAGCAGGAGGATTTTCTAAAGTTATATCTGCTTTTGGTATTGTTGGTATGATCCAAATTATGCACTTTGCTTATTTATTGATATCTAATATAAAAGTACTATAGAGTAAATTCAGGATAAATTTATTATAATTAATTAAATTACAGGTTTTATTAAATTTTTGGAAGGTTACTACATAATACTAATTACTAAAAGAAGAAAAGTTGCTGCCATAGGCCATCATACAATTTATAAGATAGAAGACACCACTATGATATCTATTCCACATGAATCGGCGAGAGTATTTCATCCAGATGAATCCAGATATGTAAAAATGTTTCAAAGCATTGATTTAGCAAGTAACTTTTATTTTAGGTAGTATAATAATAAAAATTAATGTTTTTATGTAAGAGTATTCCATATGCACTTTATTTTTAGCTACAGTTATGATGTAACACATAGCTTACAGCATAATTTTACAGAACCAAAACATTTTTCTACAAGAGATGCAAGTTTTGAATCTGATAATGATGTATCGGGCACTGATAATACTGATTTATTAGGGAAATCTATTGTTTCTCAAGGAGCACCAAATGAATTCAGAGAAACTCAATATTTTGGAACAAGAACACATCCACATAAGAAATTTGTTTGGAATTTACATTTATTAACTGAAGGTTAAATAATTTTATAATTATAATTTTTCATGTCCCTAGTAGCTATTGATTTGTTTCTCTAGCATTAAAATCTGATGTTCACCCTAACTGGATATTATTTATTACTCATGGATTTATAGGACAAAGTAACATTAGTGTTTATGGTCGAGCACTATATCTTACACTAATAGCAAGGAGGTGAGTAGCATAATAATTATGAGTATAAACCCTTCAGGCCAACAAGCAATTGTCCTCACATAATAAAATCACTAGTAACATATCCATTCCTTCCGCCAGCAGATGAATTATTCATTATTTAATAATAATAAATAAATAATTTATTGCCAGATCAAGCAAATATGCTGGTACAAGATTTCTTAAAAGAGGAGCAAATTTTCAAGGCGATGTAGCAAATGAAGTAGAAACAGAACAAATAGTTCATGATTCATGTGTATCATTGTTTACCAGAAGTCATTTCACATCTTTTGTACAAATGAGGGGTTCAATTCCAGGTAAATGTTTTGTTTGTTTGTATAGTTTGTAACTTATCTGAAGAATTGAAACTATACACAAAGTTTTCCAATTACTTTCTGATTGCTTTCACTTTTTTCTAGTTAGCCTAATTACATGTTAAATATCTCAGACCAGACATATTTTTTCTCAGATTTGTTACCTGAGGAAACTGTAGCAAAGTGGTACAGCAAAAACTTATACCTAGTGTTTATAAAATACAGGGTGGCGCACCTCATTCGCCTCGGTTGATTATACGAAAACGGAAAGATGTAAAAACAAAATCTTTATGGGGATATGTGGGAAGGCAATGTGCACAATTTAAAATTATTTTCAAATGTATAGGGTGTGTCAGAACTAAGATCCATACCAAAGTTATAATTTTTTCTTATAGAACACCCACAGTTTTTATTTCATTTTTTGGATTCTTGGGCATAAAATAAGGCCTATATTATAAGGGTTTAATATGTTTAAATGCTTTGGTTTTTGAGATATTTAAATATGCATGCTATAATAAAAAAGTTTGTGAACACCCTGTACATTACTTTTCAGATTTAATTCTTGTGCTGACTTTGAAGCCAGAGAAATAAACTTTACTAAAAAAATATTGCTTTCTTAAATGTATACAGGGGTATCAAAAATTGCTGGTCTATTTTAAATATTTATTTTACATAAAAACTTACGTTATTTCAAATGCAACACCCTGTATTTTTTTAAACAAGGCAAAGCAGATTTAAATGCTCTTTCAAACTGTTTTAGGGTTTTCTATACCTATCTGGCGCAGATTTTGAATAAAAAGTGATTTTTCAATAAAATGGCAATTTGCTAGTGATAGGTAGTAGCTATTTTGAAAATTGACATTAGTTTATGGACTTTATTTAAATTTATAATAGTTTACTTTTATTTAATTTACCTACAATAGTTTAATAAGTATGTGTTTATTATTTTATCAAGAAAAATAAAGAAGCAGTTCTTTGATTTATATTATGATGACTTGTAGATGTATTGGATTTTCTATAAAAAAAAACAATTAAGGCAAATTCATTTTCTTCACTTCCAACGACAGGTTTCTGCCTAATAAGTTTTTCATATACCATACTATCAGCTCTGCGAAATAGGAAAAGTAGTTTTTCAAAGTAACGCTTGTCAAGAAAATTCCTATTATAGGGATATCTTTGAGTATAAACCCTTCAGGCCAACAAGCAATTGTCCTCACATAATAAAATCACTGTAACATTCCTTCCGCCAGCAGATACTGCTTCAATTTTTCTGATAAAATAATAAATACTTACTTATTAACCGTATTGTAGGTAAATTTAATAAAAATAATCTGTTATAAATTTAAATAAAGTCTATAAACTAATGTTGATTTTGAAAATAGCTACTAAGTGTCATTAGAAAATTGCCATGGCGACACCAGCCATCTTGATTACAATTTGATTGAAAAATCGCTTTTTATTCAAAATTTGAGCCAGATAGGTATAGGAAACCCTAATATAGTTTGAAAGAGCATTTAAATCTGCTTCGACTTGCTTAAAAAAAATACAGGGTGTTGTATTTGAAATAACGAAGTTTTTATGTAAGATAAATATTTAAAATAGACTAGCAATTTTTGATACCCTTGTATATATTTAAGGAAAGAATCAAATTTTTTAGTAAAGTTTATTTCTTTGGCTTGAAAGTCAGCACAAGAATTAATTCTGAAAAGTAAACGTACAAGGTGTTGATAAACAAAGTAAATGTACAAGGTGTTGACAAACTGTTTTATTATAGCATGCATATTTAAATATCTTTAAACATCTCAAAAACTAAAGCTTTTATAAATGTCTTATTTTATGTCCAAGAATCCAAAAATGAAATAAAATACCGGGTGTTCCATAAGAAAAAATATAACTTTGGTATGCATCTTAGTTCTGACACACCCTGTACATTTCAAAATAACTTTAAATTATGCACATTGCCTTCTCACATATACCCATAAAATATTTTATTTCTACATCTTTCCGTTTTCGTATAATCAACCGAGGCGAATGAGGTGCGCCACATAATATATTGGAAAGTAAAAATAAACACGATTTATTTTCTATATCTATGTTATCAGATAATAATCCAAACAAAATAAATACCATTGGATCTATGCAATTGCATAAAAAAATCCTTATATTATAGATGAAATGACGTTCGCAGAATTAGGACCAAGAAATATTTTTTTTTAGAAAAAAAAATATTTTTTTTGAAAGCTTGTTTAAAATAAAAGGTTATTTATTTCTTGGTCCTAAACCTGCGTACGCCATTTCATCAATAAATAAGTAAAGTTAGATATTAAATATTAATTATTTTTATCATATTTAAATAATGTTTTTAAATTTCTGTCAATAGGACACTGGAAACAAGAAATGGGAAAAATTGTAGCAAAACCTGCTATAACCATAGACTTTTATGACCCATTTGCAGCAACTGCTGGAGCACATTTTAATGAATTGCTAAAAAGATATGGAGCGCCTATAATAATTTTGAATTTAGTGAAGAAAAGAGAAAGAAAACCCCAAGAAAGTATGTTAAGCGAGGAACTAAGTTCAGCAGTGAAATACTTGAATCAATTTTTACCAGTTGAATATCAGATTATTTATAAAACATTTGATATGGCCAGAAAAAATAAGAGCAGTTCTAATGTAATGAAAGAATTGGCAGGAATTGCAAAAAGTGCTGTTACTAAAGTTGGAATATTTCATAATCAATCTAAATACTTTTCACAGAAAAGTAGTACTGTGATAGGTCAAAAAACAACATCATTTAGCAGCAGACAAACAGGAATCATAAGAACAAATTGTGTAGATTGTTTAGACAGAACAAATACAGCACAATTTGCAATTGGTAAGTTAACTTGAGTTAATATAATGATTCATTATTTTTTTTATTAATTAGCTTTCTTGAGTTACATTATTTATTTTATTAGTTTTTAACTATTTTTATTGAATTTATGTATAAATAATTATAATTTACTGCTATGTATAAACTAATTCCAGTCAGCTGGGTTGTTGTGGCATTTTTAATTTGTTTAAAATCCAAGAAATCCAACTGACTTGAATGTACTTTTTACTACTACTGCATATTATTTTAATGCAGTGTATTTATGCCTGGTTCTAATACCATATAAAATCAATATTTGTAACAAGTGAAGTAAAATATGATATACAGTGTGCCTCTTAAATAACTGCAAGTATTTTAACTGGTAGCAGATATACAGGGTGTCCCAGGCTGAGCGCGCATTAGAAGTTTCTAGAACGAGTCTCTAACTACAGACTACTAAAGAACTACAATATCTAGATTGGCGATTTTTTGCACATCATTGTTTCACAACAAGATACATCGATTAAAAATATTTTCAATATGGCGGCACTTCCGGGAATACCGCAAGTTGACAACAACTTTCTTATTTTAAATGGATGTACCCATTTTATTACATAGTTAAATTCTCTATAAAATTTTATGAATTTTGAAATGATTTTTTTTAAATCAAAAAATCAGATTTATTTTATTTAAATCAGATTTTTTTATTATTTTAATTCAAAACAATATTTAAATCGGATTTCCAAATTTAGGAAGGACTAGGACTTATTTCCAATTTCTAATTAAAGTCCTATCCTAAATGGCTAAATCTTTATAACTCTGCCCGATACCGATAACATTAACAATTCTACGGCGCGTGTCATTTTTCCACATCGGTCACCAATATATTCCGCAAAAAAAGTCGTTCGCTTCAGATCAAAAGGATTTTTTTCAAACATCTCAAAAATATCAATTTTTGTCATTTTAACGCCTAGGCATAAGAGTAAAGCACTGTTACGCCTAAGCACAAAAGTACAAAAATAAATTATTAAACTGGTATTAAGTGTCAAATTCAACGAGTGTACCAATTCTTGCTCGATTACTGTTCATACTACCTATTTGCAATGTTTGAAATTGATTAAAAAATTATTTGTAATGTTTTAAAAGAAATAGTATGTTCTATTCAGAGTAAAAATGTATTTTTTGTGCCTCCCTGTAACGTCGGAATAGCCTTACGATGGTCCTTCAAAGGTACAGCATCGCGTCGTCAAAAAAATACAATATAAACAAACAAAGACAGAAGAGACAGAGAAGTCTAAAATTTCCGACGCCGGCAACCGAGCCGGCAACTAGGCGCATTTGGATTGTTCTAATGGCCAGTGGCGTATCGTTTTTTGGAACGAATTTAATTAGTAAAGTAAAAGTAAAGTAAAATTTTTACTCCATATTAATATACTACATTAACACTTTTTCGTTAGATGAGTTTTGTCATAAGGTCTAATATAATAATATAATTAATATCCCACATATACTTATGTTGAAACGTTAGTAGGTAGTTTTCGAAAATCGCTCCAACGTCGATATTCAATTTAAACTTTCAGTTACTTCTATATAAACTTTCAGTTACTTTTGAATATTTACAGAGTGACTCAGGCTTCCGAAACAGTTCTATATTAGGTTTGTGGTTGGTGACTTTTCTTTCAATTTTTTTTTTTAGAATATGTGGAAGCAATGGTAAAGCACATTTTAGACATTTTTGTAATCATAGGTGGCCGGAACATATTTTCAAACTAAAGTTGTAGATTTGCCATTAAATTTCCATTCCAGAAATACCTAGTGTTGCCACCTGTCCTTTTTTGAAAAGGACAGTCCTTTTTGGAATAACTTGTCCTTTTGACTTTTTTTTACTTAAAAAGTCATTTTTATTTACATATTTTCCCTGGGAGAAGAAGAGAACTTAGAACTTCCCGTTTAATCTCTGAGAAAATTACCTACAGCAAACAGAAATATTCTTTTCGTCCAAATTTAATTAGAGGTGTTATAAAACTTATAAATAAATTTTTCTTGTTTAGAATAGGCAACATTATTTAGAACTGCCCGTTTAATCTCAAATGATAGTTTAGGTTTTAGTTTTACCTTTTTTTATCTTAAAAAGAACTTTTCAAAATTAGTAATTAGTAACGATTTAGTTAGTTCGCAATCGATAGCTTCCTGTGAAGTACTGTGTAATAGTTGTTTAATCTTGTATTATTAATAACTTCCTATACCTAAAATCAGTATTTATTTTAATGAGAAAATTGTGTTTTTTGAAAATATAAGACAATATTTGACTTTCGGTCTTCTTCTCGTATTATGATGGCTCTGATACGAGGCAATTACCTTTTAGTCTCTCAATAGAGGGCATTTATCATTAAAAGTATCAAATCTATGTGCTACAGTATGGGATTTCTGTCGCATAATAATGAATATTACGTTTATTTACAAATCCATTACTTAGGTAGCTTAATCAGACAATCAAATTTTAGTTAAACGTCTCAATCTTCATGAACTGTATTAAGCATATGTATTGCGGTTTGAATCACCCTGTATGTTGACAAAAATATTTTGAAAATGTGCGTTACAATGGCCCCGATCTTATGTAAAGATTGAAATAAAAATCAGAAACCAAAAACGTAATAGGTAAAAAGCTTTTTTGGAGGCCTGGGTTACTCTGTATATAGGTATGTATAAAACTAGTAGCCTAAGAATTATTTACAGTTCGTCCCATTCTAAAAAAAGGTAAACGCACCGTACAAATAACTCTAGGAAGAGGTATTTGTATTGTACGGTGGTAAAAACTTGTCTAAACAAGACCGAAGGGGCAGATATAAGATATAATAAAGCATTAAAATTTAAAAAAGAACGGGTAAACACCTTTGTTTATTTCTTGAGCAAAATCCTTTAGAATATCGTATATTTATAATGACCAAAATATGACGCAATTTAAAAAAAAATGTCACTTTCTGGCTTATAATAAAGTTTCAAATGCAACGTTTATATTCAAATTTGTTATGATCTACAACAGTTAGGTAGTAATTGAGACGAATTATAATTCAATTACCGGCTACTACGTTCTTGTTTTAATAGATCAAAATTCAACAAATATAATTAGAAATTATTTTAATTGTAAGGGGCTCCTGTGAAAAGACAAATTCGGGTAATTTGAGCTTATTTTTCCACACACTTGACACTGTCGTACCATATTGAAAATTCGCAGATTCAAAAGTACGTTAAACAAAAATAAAAACTACTGAAAAACACTGAAAAGTTCACTTCGGACTTGATTCCGACTTCAAACACACCGTAAGCTAAACGTAGTACGCTATAACGGACCAAGGGCCGTCGCGAGGGGTGGTGGGACGGACGGCTCATTTCATTCTGGAAGACTAGCAGCGACGTTGCCGATAGTTCTAGACGTTTCAGCACATTAAACAGTAAACACGTCCTTTAATAGTAACGCATATATCCTCTGGTTAATAACATATTATTACGCATTCTTCTTTAAAAATAAACTATTAATTTTATTAAGAAATTGAGATTTATTGATATCCGGTGAAGGTTTTAAAGTCACCTTTTCTGCAAATCAAACTAAGTAGATAGGCGCAAATTTGAGATGTGGCAATGTCGCCTTCTCTATCTCAGTTGGGTTTTACAGTACGTAGTCAACCTCCAATTGTTTGATCCGGTTAAAATGCGCAATGTGATGTTCGAATGCAAAACAAACAAGGTTAATGTTAGGTAAAGAGTGTATAATATCAAAATTCATAAAATTTTACAGAGAATTTAACTACTTGTATGCAGGGTTGTTAAGTAGTTTATGAAGCAAAAAACTACGACAAAAACTACCAACCAAACCAAACCAAAAACTACGCGTAGTTTTTTGTATTAACTACGTTTTAAAATTTTAAAAACTACCCTCAAAAACTACACAAAAACTACGTTAAAAACTACCTACAAAAATATAGTAAAACATAAACAATTTAGACTTTAAACAAAAATCAAGCCAAATTCTTATCATGGAAGTATGAAGTTATTATATTTGTATAAGTTAAACAACATCAGAAAAAAAGACATTTTTTTTTCAGCAAAAGTGTTTTTCTATGAAATACAAAGTAACATTGAACACAAAATAAACTATAAATTCTTATGGAGAAATTCTCCATAGACATTCTCCAGGAGAATATATGGTTTTTTACATCTAAAGGCACAACTTCATAATTCCCCTCATCTCAGAAGGTATGGAGATATCGACGTCTTCCAACCATTTTTAACTACTAACTATCAAAAATATCACATAATAAGGAACAAATTCACAAAATATAGATTTTTTATTTCTTTAAATTGATCAACAAACAAAGTTTGTAGGTTATATTTTCTTTCACTTTTATTTAAAAAAACTACATTAGTTACATAAACTACACATTTACTACTCGACATTTAAAAAACTACTTGTAACAATGTAATAAACGTAGTTTATTAATTACTACGTGTAGTTTAACAACTGCTTGTATGTAATAAAAAATGGGTGCATCCATTTAAAATAAGAAAGTTACTGTCAACTTCCGGTATTTCTGGAAGTGCCGCCATATTGAAAAATATTTTTAATTGATATATATATTATGACGTTGTAAAACAATGATGTGCAAAAAATCTTTGATCTAGATATTGTAGTTCTCTAGAAACTTCTAATTCACGCTCAGCCTGTGATACCCTGTATTTCGACTCAAGAAACTTGCCTTGATGTTTTCTGTGCCTAAAAACATTTATCAGTTTTTATTTTTTTTTAATTAAACATTTTTTAAAACTTAATTTATCTTTCTTAAAAAAATAGTGCTGCACTGCAGGTTTCCTCTCCAACAGGTTCTTGAAAGTGTATTGATGCTCTGCAATATTGTCACATCTTGCGGTACCCAAATTCTGAAAATTTATATGTTTATAAGTTGACAATAGTTTTAACACAGAATCAAGTTAATCTTTAAAGAGTTCAAATTTCAGCTTGTCTTTAT